AATGCTTCCAAATTCAAATTTAAAAACAACCTACTCTATTTTGAAGGATCCATATATGTTCCAAAAGAAGAAGCACATTTACGTGTTCTTCAAGCATGCCACAATTTTCCAATAGTTGGACATTTTGGATATAATAAGACTTTAGAGCTCATATCTAGAGATTTTTGATAGCTGCAAATGTAGAAAGGGATCAAAGATTTTGTTCAATCATGTGATGTTTTCTCAAGATCAAAAAATCTCCGTCATCGATCTTACAAATTTTTTTAGCCATTACCTATTTTAGAACAACCATAATCTTCTATTTCTATGGATTTTATTACAGATCTTTTAGTCTCAAGTTTGTATGATTCTATATTTGTCATAATAGATCATTTTACAAAGATGGCACATTTTGTACCATGTACAAAATCTATCACAAATGAAAAAACAACCAAACTTTTTTTTGACAATATCTATTGATATCATGGATTGTCCAAAGATATTATATCGGAAAGGGAAACTAAACTTATATCAAATTCTTCAAAAATCCTTTTTAGAATTCTAAAGGTAGATATAAAGCTATCTTTGGCCTTTTATCTTTAAATTGATAGATAGACAAAGCATGTAAACTAAGTTTTGGAATAATACTTAAGATGTACCATCAATTATCAATAAGACAATTGGAGAGCTCTCTTGCCATTGGTAGAGTTTGCTTATAATAATATGATGCATTCTTCTATGCAACAAATACTTTTCTTTGTCAATTATGGCTATTATCTACGACTTGATACTTTTGACTTTTTAAAAGTTGATAAACTTGTGGAAAAAGATTTAGCAAATTATTTGTTTGAGCTACATGCAATAATAAAGATACAATTAAAAGAAGCTTAAAATGACAAAAGATCAATGTGGATGCCTATTAAAAGGAACAACCACAATTTAATGTAGGTGACAAGGTATGCTTACTTCATCATAATATCAAGATTACTTGTCTTTGTGATAAGTTGGACTACCGTAGGCTTGGACCTTTTCTTATTTGTGGACAAATCAATCTAATTGCTTATCGATTAAATCTATCGGAGTCAATGAAGATCCATTATATCTTCTACGTATCTCTTTTTGAACTATACAAGTTTGTGAACATACCAAAAAGAAGATAAGTGTCAATTCCTCTTATAGAAGTAAACAATAATGAAGAATTTGAAATAGAAGAAGTCTTAGATTTAAGGTAGCATTGAAATAGATTGAAATAACTTGTTCATTGGTATGAATATGATATTATTGAATGCACATAGGAGCCAACAAAGAATCTTGTAAATGTAATGAAGAAGATAGAGGCTTTTCATCAATTCCATCTATCAAAATGAAAATAAAGATCTTTCTTATAAAAAAAATAAGATTTAGGTAAGATAACATTCTAATTTCTATCTTTATCGTAGCTTCTTTGTATTTATGACACTAAAGAGATAGAAAATCAATAACCAACGGATTTGACTCAAGAGCCTTCATTTGCTAACTTGTCATATGAAACATTACAATTATCACAACCTTCAAGATGACGCAATCAAAATGAAGATTCTCAAGAACGACATGTTTTTTCTCAAATAGATGGCAAAATATAATATGTTTGGTATCACAACTTTGAAAGGAACTTTTAATGTTTGATGATTTTATTGGAGATAGTAACAATTCTTGACAATGTTTTAAATATTTTATTTGAAGTAAATTATGAAAGTCTCAACAATGATCAAATAAGTGAGTGGTCTTTCTGCCTTGATATAGAATACTATTGATGGTTGAAAAGCCCTATCAACTGTTTTTGAAAAAAACAAAGATAAGAGTATGTGGCAAATATAATTTGCCACATCTTGGATTTCTTCAACATATAATGATCGTTCTTCATAGAACTTGTTTCTAAAAGAAAGAATAATATCATGGATATATAGATATAAATTAATAATTACTTATATGATTAGATAAAAGTAGGTAAAAGTAGATTAATTCCATAATATCTTCTATAAAAGCTTCATAGATGCCACTTTAATTTTATAAGTATCTATAATTGAATTTTTAGGTTAGAAATGTGGTCAATAAGTTAGCCATGTGCCATACATGTTAATACCTTGAAGAATAAGCTAATTATGTGGCACACATATAGAAAACTTGCCTTGTAAGTTAAGGCATGTATTCTGCAAAATCAACATATTAGAGGTCCTATAGAACATTGTCACTTAGCTCTTAGTTAAATGGTATATATAGAGACAAGAGTGAAGCCTTCTTCGCTCTTATCAATTCCTTTCTTGCTTCTACTCTAAATTCAAGAGTCTCTAATTTCTTTGTATTTTTGCAATAGTCATTTCAATTTCTTTTTAATATATATACTAGTTTATTTCTATTTTTTCACTTTTCTTTTGATACAGATTTTTCAAGTTTATGCATCTTCTTCTAATTCATGTCCTTAACACATCATCACAAAAAAATTCTTTAAACTTCTTCTATAACTCTTCTATATGTCTAGGTAAATATTGAAGAAGAATAATAGCAAACAACATTCTTAATTGCTTTCCTATTTTCATTATAGAAGCTTCTTATAAGCATTGATTGCACTCTTTGTCATCTTTCAACAATTCCATTTGTAAGCATATACTCTCATAATTTGGTTAAAGTACTCCATTTAAAATATATAGATTTTCAAATAAATATGATCTCCAATTAAAAGAAATAAAAGATAGAATCTTTCTTCTAGAATAGGATCAACAAAATATAATCTTCTAATCACAAATCCACATTGTCTTACTATCCACTTCTTTGAGGTCTTGTTCCATAAAAAATATTGTGAAAACTCTTAATATTTGTATTATCAAGAAATCTCCATAAATTCACATATTATAAAAAATATTCTCAAAGTTATTTTTTACCGCTCTCTCCATACTAAAATTTCAATTGTATCATCATTTAGATCAAAAATTACTTGATGCATTTCAAGAAGATGTAATGTCAATCGAATCACATTTGAAACTTCATGCATTTTCATTCCAAACAAATGCCATACTACCTTAGAAGCTCTAATATATCATACATCAATATATTGTTTGATCTCATCTTGTTTATTTTTCATTTGCATTGTTGAATGATCATGGTCTTAATAGATATACTTATGAATATATTTCACAATACAAATAGAAGCACAAACAAAAGTACAAACCTCAATATTGATGTGACAATCATATGTTTTGCTAAAGGTAGGATTGTATAGAACAACATCTTGATTGTCTATAACATAATTGCCAATGTTGAAAGTCCTTCCATCATTTTTTCTATGATATTGAGGATATCCATCACCATCCATTGATGTTACTATTCAATAAACTTTTGGATATTTCTTTTGGCATATTCTATCCTTCATGTATGGAGCTTGCATATTTCAAGGTCCACATAGACTATAAACCATATAAGTAATAATTATCTCAAATAATAATAGATCATCCTCTTTAATATGAAACTTTGGAGAAACAATCTTATCAACATTGGCTAGATTTCTTATTTCATTGTTTTGATCAAAAAAGAATAAAAAGTACATGTGCAAAAGTATAAAGGAAATGTGTATGAACTCATACAAATGGATATTACAATTCTTATCAAAGTAAATCATGTCCAATTTGAAATCATCAAGTATTTAAAAGTTTGTTCAAAAAAGGAAGAATAATTTTGATTATCATTGAAGTTTTTTATCACCACATTATACTTGTCTACAACTTTCACTATCAAATTTATATAAAATGCTATTATTTTAATATTTTAATATATACATTAGTTAGGATTATGCCCCTATATGCTAGCCCTTAAATAAAAGTTCCATGTTCAAGGAGCAATAAACAAGGAAGACTTTTTGCTTAAAGATTTCATATATTATATTATGTATAGAATAACGTTCATCAACAATTCAATTTGTATAAACTCACCAAATCTCTTGTCAAAGATAAGACTATACAAATATAAAATGAAGTGTAAAAATTCTTACTTAAATATATGCATTTATAAAAAGTTGTATTAAGAAAAATAGAATATGAAAAACTAACTTCAAACTTAATAAGGGAGTTTGAAATGACCCTAAACTACTTGAGGATGGCAGATTGCACTATGTGATCACAACTAAAGTGGTGGAAGAAGAATCTTTCTCCAAGATGAACATTGAATTTAATTAACTCTATTTATAATTTATTACTTATTTTCATGTTAATTTATCTAATTGAATAGAAATTCATTTTAACTCCTCAATACAACAATATCTCATACTTAATTTTTTTAAAGATAAATCCCTAAATTGGATTGATAAATTATAACCACCTGGTGGATTTTATGCATGACAAGCCCAGTCTAGGCAGAGAAGGTTTGTCCCTCCACTTGTTGCCTAAGCAATAGGCACACAATAAATGAGAGGTCAGGTAGAGAATTGAAGGCAATCTCTGTTTTTGCTAAAGCTTCTAGAGCTTAAAAGGCAAGCCATCAACTACAAAATTTGTGATGGTAGAACTTATCCTAGCATTTTAATTTTCCTATAATCCAATCTAGGAATGGATTCTTGACACCCATTTCCTTGCATAATTTCTCTGAAATTTCTACCTTATCCAAAGAATACAGCACCTCACTCTTGAAGCCTTGATTTTGTGGCCCACAGTCTATCAATAATGAAAAGCATTGATTTTATGCCCGAGAATATTTTTCATTTCCACCAAAAGGATGCAGCAATCAGACAACATGCAGTAGCAGAACAAAATGTTTATTCATCTGGGTTATCAAAAATAAAACAAAGTGGTAGTATGGATCATGACAGACGGACCACGTCCACAGAATAGAGTCCTGTACGATTGCATTTCATGCACACTTGAGCAACACATCCCCAGTTAGAAAATAACCCTCACAAAAATAAATATATGAAACAGCTACGTCATAGATTATCAACTCCATCTTCATTGAGAATTGATGATCGGCAGACACGGATCGCTGTGAGATAATAAAAATTGAGAAAAAATAATAATAATAATAATAATAATAATAACCACCTAACCAATTAACATGATGTGCACAACTATATTGTGCTATGACATGATTGTGCTATGTAAAAGCAGATTTTACATGCAATTTTCTACCAACACTGCAAGACTTCGTCGCCACCATGCTTTCAGTGACGAACTACCCTGGTGCCAAATGCTAGAAAGGGTGAATTCTCAAGTGCGACAAAAACGCAACATTGTGGAAAGGAGAACACAAGTTCAATAGGTGGTAACGGCATTACATTAAAGCAATTTCTAACACTGGCCAATGTACTAGATAATATTATAAGCTTGCTTCATCTCTGCCAGAATGGTTAGGATTAAGACCATGAGGCAGAGGAATATCAAAACCGTACTAACATTTCATACCAATACATCTACGCCAATGCAGTGGCCTTGCAAATAGGACACTGGTTCTTTTGCACAAGCCATTGCTGAATGCACTGCGAATGATATCCATGCCCACATTCGATCTTTCCCAATTCATCACCTTCCTCATACTCCTCCTGATAAAGCACATTGAACCGTTAAAACAACAAAACAGACTGAGAATCCAGAACGTGTCATGTTCAAGTGCACCGATCATGCACATGCTTCTAAATCATAAGCTTCAGTAAAAATAAGCATCTGAGCTAATGCATCTCTACAAAGAGGTAAAATATTAAGTACCTGACAAATGCTGCACTTGATGTCGCTTTCTTGTGAATACCGCGCCACGACAGCATCTAGTGAGGAATACCGTGTCTTCTTTAGTTTTTGCGCCATCGCCTCAGAACTCACTCCAGTGCTCACGTTGCCTATTCTTTCCTCCAAAGCAAGGAGCTCCTGCACAAACACCGCATTTTCCTTGCGTATCAGCTAGGCCTAAAAAGTACGCTGTCAGGATCAAGAGAACTTTACTGAAGCTCTCAAAATGTCACAGCCTTGGTCCAAATACGAAATACAACCAGCCACAAAGTTGACCAAAATAGAAAATACAAAAAACGTCCTACCTCGTAGGACATATTGTCCACATCAAGCCGCAGATCACTGTGCTGGTCGTGAAGACCCATTCCTCCAAACAATAGCGTTGCCTCCAGCATCAGGAGTTGCTGAATAAACCAGATTCGCATCGTCAAAGAGGGAACACTACGCATGTCAATACTTAGCTTAACTGATTTCACAAGAAAGCTCATTCAAATTCGTCTCTTTCATAATCTTCCAACTTAAATGATTGTCCAAGCAAAATCACACAGTGTACGGCACAGAAGTTCTCGAGTCACAAGGGCTGGAGCACAAGATAAATCTTCAACCAGACAAAGTTTCAACAACCTCATATGTTAGATCCTCATCTCTTTCAACACGCTCAAGTGCGAAAAGAATCTGCACACGCAAGAAGCACAAAACGATCAATTAAACCGATAGAACCGGTCTAACACAACCAACGACAAACTTTGTAACTCCTTTTGAGCTTGCGCATTCTCGAAATATGAAATAGCTGTTAGCAAATTCCGTGCCGAACCCCTAAATTGTAAATCATTAAGTTCGTCCTCCATCCATCTTTACAATCCAGAAAAAGGAATTACATGGTCTTCAAACACTTCAAAACTAACTAGTGAGAATCTAACCTCGGCAAGTCCCTCGGCCATAAGCCGTGGTTGTGGTCCCCCTTCCACTGCAGACATCTGCAACCCCCTGAAAGGCATTCCGAGTAGACTTCCCTCTGCTGACACAAATCCCCGCTCACGCAACCCAGATGGGAATGCCCCGTGCAACAATGAACCTCGGAACAGGTTGGAGGGTGACGGTAAAGAATCGGTGGAAGGTGAAAAAGATAAAGGATTCAACGAAGATGGAGATGGGGGCAAGCGGGAAGGTGCAGGCCCCGAAGGCGATGGAGGTGGTAGCAGAGACTGTAAGCTGCTGCCCTGAAGCCTGCCACGAAGTGATGGAGGATGTGGAGGCGGCCTTGATGTAGAAGGTGCAGATGGAGACGCTGCATGTAGAGCAGTCTGCATTGTAAGCGATACAGGTTGAGATGCTGGAGGTGAGGACTGAGACATTTGCTCTGAGTGATGACTCAGTACACGACTGCGCAGCCGACCTTCCGAAGCAGCAGTTCCACCCACTGGACTGCCACTAGGTCCACTGTTTAACAAACCTCGTGAGCTATTTCCCAAGTACCTCTGGATAACCCGATCTCCTGCACTGCTCGTACCAAAAGGAGCTTCACTACGTCGAGGTGATCCAGAACCTCCAACTCTTCCGCCTACGAGTTGAGGGCTATCGCCTCTTCGAGACTGGTTTCCACTCAGCATGTGCTCCAACAGGGAACTATTAGACACTCCGACATCTGCATCCATAGAAGTATCAGGAACAGAAGGGCGTCTAAGAAGGTTGTCGTGCGAGGGCGCTGCCCGCCGCAGTGCTCGAGTAAAGGGAGAGTTGTTAGCTCCAGGATTGTTCAGCACCACTCCACTGGTTCCAGATCGAGTAATTCTCTGAGAATTTGTAGTTTCATTGCTGCTGCCCGCCACCGACTTTCCATAACGTCCTTCCCTTGAGGATTCAGTTGGTTCTCTCAAGAAGTTGCTCCACCGAGGTTCATCCAATCCAGACGACATCGTGAATGGTTCGACATGTCGCCCCAGATAAACTGCATCAGAAGGGGAAGAGCTAGGACCCACAGATTCAGGGGCACTACTTGAGCCACCAATACTTGACGTGCGCCAGCTCAGTCCATACCTACCTTCCGTTCGCCCACTGTACCCATCCCGATGCCCAGTTCTGTGAGGAGAACTAATTCGGCAAGACATGTTACCCGGAACCCCCGGTGTACAGCTCTTCCTCTTGCATGCTGAGCTTCTGGAGCTGCTACCCATATGTATATTACTGCCTGACGAGCTTTCCAAAGGATTACCTCCTGCCCCGCCAAACAAAGAATGTCTGCCCACACTGTACTGTCGATTGTCATTGCTGCAACCAACTGATTCATCCACTAGAGCTTCACTAATACTTCCAGCTGGCAAGTAGACCTCTGTTGCACCAATCAGGTTGTTGATGCTACCTTGTGCCTGTGCATCGTCACGATAATCGGAACGGTCCATGAAAAGAGAATTCGCCATCATACTTCCAATCCCATTTTCACCTCGTCGCTCGTCCATTGCATTCCTCGCATTGTCTGCCATATCATGCCGATCCATAAACAAAGAATTGAAAACCGCATTTCCACTGCCATCCACTGTTCGCTCTTCCAGACTATTTGTGCCACCAGAAAACCACCCACCGGCGCTTGCTTCAAGTTGTCTAGTCCCAATTGAAGGTAATTCAGAGGACCCGATCCGAACATTTTTGTTTTCTCCTATATGTTCCCCTGTCCTTCCTCCAAAATAAGCAGGGACACCGCTTGCCTGCATCGAGCTTCTACCTGACAGAAAATCTAAAGTGTTGAGCCCTGATTGATCGGTTCTCCCCATAAATTCAGAGTTAGGGAGTGACTGCACGTGAGCTGGATGTACAATGATCTCCTCCGAAATACCAAGATGAGTACTGAGCCCCATTCCAAGATGCCCATCATCATCTATGCCCATTGATTCTGACCCAGCCTCATTAAGCCCATCCACGAAACCATGTAAGGCGCTCCATTGTCCTTGAATGGTTCCCTGATGTGATCTCTGAACTCTACGAGACCCAGAAGACCGCGCAGCAACAAGCTTTGGTGACACTTGGGAGGGCTTACGCACGGGTGGCCTACTACTCTCGGGACCTTTTCCCGTTTCTTGGTGACATATCGTCATCCCTGCAGATGACTCTCCAGGATCCTCAAATCTGATCCTTGTATTTACACTGTTAGGTCCACCATCTCCACTACTACTGCCCAGATGATACACATCTCCAGAGGCCCATCGGTTCCCCCCTAGAAGAGGAGGTCCTCTTCTTGGATCCATACCCTCCTCCATCTTCTTCAAGATTTTAATCGATCTAATTCCAGCAATATTGCACGAGAGCAGAGCCAAAAAAAAGCTAGCCCCAATGGATAGTTTCAGTCCACAGTGCCTATCATTCCGCTAACGCTTCCATAGAGGAAGCTCTGAATAGAATTAACACTCTTTTGAACCAGATGCCACCAAAATGGAAACCAAAGGCAGCCTGATATAAAAAAAACAAAAAACAAAAAGCAAAATATTACACTCAATAATACCTCTCAGCCAACCCATAATGCATATTGCATGCGACACTACAATTACCATCTGAATTTCAAATGAAATCATATCATTTCAGGTCTAATGGCATTCAAGTTTTCTTTTCTCCGTTTAACTCACATTGAACTTACACCATACACCACTAATTAAAAAGCCTCCAATTCATCAAACGTATTCACAGTGCAGTCCGACAAAATGCAAACCGTACTACGCAAACAGATATATTTTGAAATAGAAACATATAAATAATCGGCCTCCAACCATCCCACGTGAAAGATGTATTCTACTACTTCTAGTACCAGAAGAACTTTCACAAGAATGTGAATTGGTATCAAGCACAGATTTCATAATTCCTTCCCAGGCTAAGTTACACAAACGTAACCATCAGAACTAACTCAACACACGTCTGTATCAGCTACAGTAAACATGGAAAGCCAGAGGATCTCAACAAGAACACAAAATAAAGTGTGGAGGTGGCAAAATCAAGTTGCCTCACCTCTCTGGTCTGCCTGTGAAATCTTTGTCCAGTTTCAGCTAGTCATACTCGCTAAATCACCCATCCCATGCTCTGGGGCTTACGACTTCCAGGCCTAGCATGAAATGTAGCAGATGTAAGGGTAAGTTAACAGAATGCTTTGCGCAGGTTGCTTTAGCTCAGAGAATTCACATTTAATCAAAGCCAGTAGCATGATGTCCAATGTATCCGATGTCCGTTTGATAGTCGGTCACTGAAGTAGCTTAGAGCTTGATGTACTCCAAAGCACTTCAAAGACACTCTAACTGGCACTACAATGTAAAGGTGTCAAAGTAAAAGTACAAGTTGAGAACGGTAGCAAATATACAGATCATCGAATTACATGTATGTTATGAAGAAATTGACAACTGCTTAATTCTACCCAATTCAACTGTTTTGTCGCTAAAAACATGTAGAGCCACTCAGGATCAAGAAAGAGCAACTTAAAGTTCCAAGTTTAGAGTTGCATGAAAACGAAGCAGATCGAAGACTTGCTACAAATACACGAATTCGCGTAACGTGATGAAGAATTAGGCGCAACAGGATCTGATCTCGGACAAACTCTTTGCTGAGAGAGAAACAAGAACCTAGAAAAAAATAATAAAAAACTCTACTACCAAAATGAAATACCCATTAACAAATTCCAGTGTTCTTGATCAAAGACACTGATATCTTGTTCTAGATAATTGAATGATTTAAAACAGCGTGACATCACTTCGAACTAATCTAGCATTTTTCTGAAAGCAACAAATTTAGTATTATACAATAAAGCTGGATATTAGTCTATGGAGGTAATATAGAGCATGCATGTAGAATAGCCGTATGAGTGGCATGTTCTCGAAAGAACAAACTACCGGAGAATGTCAACGAAGTGAACTCTAAAAGGTGAAGTCATCTTACAAGTTCACCTGCAATGACCACTGCGCCCGATTGCCGTCTGCTGCTTCAACAAAGAAGACCAGAACAGATTACCGCACAATTTTTTTCCGTTCGAACCACAAACTACGCCTCTGGAGTACAACCCCGCAGAAACACACCGTCACCAACTCTCAGACACACCACATAAACACCAAAAGACTCGCCAACCCTCGAACACCTCCCACTACGAAACTTCTCAACCCTTTCGACGCACGCCACACCCCGCCGCCCCCTTCTCCTCACGCTGCTTCCTCCACCATCACGATTCTCCCTCCTTGCCTTACAAAGCAATCGCCCTCCTAGCTCTGGGCTACCCCCCATGCACACTATCGCTCCATTGCACCCGAAAGGGACAAGCCGCCTACACACCACACAACATGTCCCAGAGAAAGATCCGGCAGTCAAACGTAGGCCCTGAAATAAAGAGAAGCCTGCTTATGCCGCGTCCAGAGGACAGCCAAATCCTGCAAGGGAGAAAAGACGGCTCTGCTTTTGGTGCGCACGCACCAGCAGGTGGATCTGCTACAGCGGAGGAGGGGAGGGTGGGGGGGCGGAGAAAGGAAGGGAGAAAAGGTAGGGTCACTGTCCAGCAGCAACCAACGCAGGCATGAACCTTGAGCCGAGGCTCGCCACGAGCAGACCGGCAAATGAAAGTGGGGAAGTGGGAAGGGGGGGAGGGGGGATCTCTCTCCCCCTCCTCCTCAGAGACACAACAGTCCAAGCCAGGCAGGCAAGGCAGGCAAATGCATCGCCATCGGCTGGCCCAGTAGCGGTAGCAGCCCAATTGCCCTCCCCTCCCCGCTCCTGCTCCCTCCCACTCCCGGCTCAGCCGCATTCATGGCTCATGCCTCATCACCATCACCATCACCATCTCCTCGCCCCGTCCTCCACTATCCAGCCCAGCCATGACCATTGGGTCACCCGCACCCTCGCTCGCTGGGAGGGAGGGGGGTGCGGGTAACAAGGTTGCAGTGAAAACGCCATGATGATCGGGGGGGCATTCATTCCCCTTCCCCCTTCCCTGGTCTGCGGTGCTGCTGATGGTGTTGCCTCGCCAAGCCCGCCCCCCCACTCCCTGGGGTGCCTGATGCTCCTCCCTCCCTCCCTCGTCCTCGCCCTTCATCCCCGCCCCTTCTCCCTGTCCCCCATTCATCACCATCATCATCCTTGTCTGTTCCTGCTCTTCCGTTCCTTGGCTTCCTTCCTTCCAGCTCCGGGATGCAGGCATGCGCCGCCATTTCTCATCCGTCATCCTCGGTCAGCCGCCCACCCCCTTCCCCGACCTCGGTTCTGGTTCTGCCTCCCGTTGGCCACAACCCTACCACCTGGCACTCCCCCCCTCCTCCACGTCGTCCCCTCCTTATCTGGGGACATGGGCCCCTCTAGGAGCATCCTCCATCCATCCATCCAATCATTCCCTCGGATCATCATCCAGAAGTATGTCATTCATCCACAGGGTCTGAGTGCTGCCGTGGATGGTTCGTGATGGATGGATGGGGTGATTCCAGGCTTGCCTCTCTCTCCCTCCCTCCCTCGCTGCAGGTGGGATGGCCACCCCCTGCCCCCTTCAAAGATGGTGGGTTCTGCAGGCATTCAAGCATTGAGAGCAGGGTTGGGTAGGGCAGGGCAACTGAGCAAGCAAGATAAACCCAACAAGCCAGCTAGCTAGCACGCTGTCTATCTAATCTATGCAGTGTCGGGCAGCCACACCTTGGGTGAAATTGCAGCACCACCACTACTGTCTGGCTGTCTGTCTGGCAGCCTTGGGCTCTCTCTCCCTCTCCCTTTGTTACTCAGTAACTAGGAGCACTGCATAAAAATACAATTCTTGCAGTAGCAGGAGGAGGAGGGAAAGGAGAAAGGTGCTGCTGCGGTTCCATAATTGAGTGAGTTCCACTAAGTTATTCTCATTACCTAGCACCCAAACATGTAAGTAAGTGGGGCACAACTTTCATGTTGAGCTACATTCTAACTGTATTCACCACCACTATGCTTCCTCCTGCTTCTGCAAGAATCAAAATACAATTTGTATGATACATCCATTTTATATATTTTTCGACATCTATCTCCAAAATTGATTCATAACTGATACCATAATAAGCCATGAGTTTCTCAAATAAAAAATATACCAGATTTGCATATATATATATATATATATATATATAGATACAAATAAGAGTTTTTTTGGAATTTAAATAATATATACAAATTTTGGGTTTCCCATTTATAATACCAAAACATCAAAATACCCAATTTTATTTCATGTTAAAATTCATATATACTAGATGAATACTAAAATAAGTTTGATTTAACCATGTTCTTCAAAATTATAACCAAGATAAAAATGTAAACATCATAATAAACATAAATATTATTTACAACATCAATTTTTGTAAAAACTTTATAATAAGAAGTCAGATAAATGAAATGGTTTAAGTATAAAATAGTATACGACACATGCTCTTATCTACTAACCATAAAATAACTAAAAAAAATATTTGTTGTTTACTGTGTATATTCATAATAAATCACTCATGTTTTAAAGCAAAAATAGCATTTGTGTATGCACATAGAATTTCCAAAGCAGTTTTGATGACCTTTAAAGTCAGATTTTTCTTTTTTTCTTTTTCTAGTGACATGCATTCGATAAAAATCATTAATTTTCGTAAAAATAAAAATACTGAGATTTTACAAACATTTGTTATAATTCATTAATATTCTAATAATTAAGGTAAATTTCATTTTCTAAAAGTATTCTTGAAACTATATTAAATTTCATATTTTACATATATCAGACATAAAAAAATTATATATATATATATATATATATATTCATATTTATAATTTGAATGTATTTGAATAAAAAAAGTATATATATATATATATATATATATATATATATATTCTTAATATATATTCTTAATAGATTAGAAAAATACAATAGTAATTATAAATCTTTTTTTAAATTTTTTTAACATAACGATATTTTAAAATAATTCATATTAATTAAATCTCCAAAAAAATGCATAATTTATATATCTATTACATAATATAGTATTACATACATCTGTATGTAATAGATGAGCTTATATATTAAGACTTTATAAATTGAAGAAATCAATTAACTTTATTTAATCTATAATAAATATTTATATTTTTTTTTCAGCTTTAGTGATTATTTATAGATGATAGATTTATTTTAGATATTATAGTCATCTAATGTAAAATCATTAAAATATATATGAGATTAAAACAATCAAATAAAAAAATAAAAATAAAAAATGTAGAATTATTACATATATTTGGTATAACCAATATATTAATGTTAGAACTAACTTTTAAATGAAAGACATGCAAATTGGTCCACATTTCAAGTAGAGCATAATCTTGTCATATTATAAATCTAAATTTAATCATTGATGATAAGCACCAAATAAATTAACCAATACATACATACATACATATATAAAGGAATATTAAAATGACCCATTCATTTATTAAATCAACCACCTCATCATGGGAAACAAGGGATTGGTATGAGAGTTGGGAACAAAGTGAGAGAAATAGGGGGTTGAAATGAAGAAGGTTGGGAACAAAATGAACATGGGCTGAGAATGAAAGGGGTGGAGATGAGGGCCATGATTGTAACAATGCTTTTTGGAGATGATCCATTTTCTAATGACGGTCACAATAGGGTGGACTTATTTAGTAAATAGATGGGTCGTTTTGACATTTACCTATATATATATATATATATATATATATTTATATATACATACATACGTTCCTATTGGTTATACTAAAAGCAAAATGAAATATCCCTCATAGTATATTAAATTATGATATCAAAATAAAATTTAATTCTGTGAAAATTTTATAAATTAATAAAATAATAAATAATCACAAATAATATCATGAAACAAAATCAATGCCGAAATTTGATTACAAGCTCAACCATTTTTCAAGTTAATAATAGTAGAAGAATTTCAAGAATGCATATAAGTTCATCAATAAATAATTCTATGATAAAATTATTGTGAGCAATAAATTATGATTATTTTTGTAGATTGTATGTTCAAATGCATAAACATAAAATTTTTTATTTATTAATTTTTATTTTTAATGTGTGTGTATATTTTCTTTTTTCTTTTTTCTTGTCCATATCAAATCATTCTAAAAATTGTCAACTGTATTGTTGATATGTAACACAGCAATAATTTTATTCAATACTAAAGAACTTTTTACAGATTTAAGAACAATTTTACATCAGAACATGCAGCAAGAGGTTGGACAAAGAAGAGCTGGTGGGCGAAAATGTTTTGTCAGAAAATTATTGTGCACAATTACCAATTAAATTGTTCAATATTTAGTCAAACATGTTCTAAATGGAGAGTATTTTGGAGACAAAAACATCATTCAGGCAAGTCATTTTTTATTCATTTGAATGTGATGTGAAACCTGTTTATTCTCTGATCTCAATCTATGGGTGTTTTGTGTGTAACATTTTATGTTGGTGTACATGACATGGACAACTATCCCTTCAACTATTTTTTTGACAGATAATATTGATGTGCAAAGGTTTGAAGTCAATGAACATATTGTTCACATTTGTAAATTAATTGCTTTATGTCTTGTGATCTAAAGTATTTTTAAAAAATTAAATACATAAGTGATTTATTTTATTTTGATTCATTTATATGAGAAGAATTTTTTACTGGAAATTCTAATTACCACAACCCTACATAATAGATTTTAGTATACCAATCTGTTTTGTTTAGATAATTTTGGTCAATTTCAGTGAAAAAAACCATCAAAGTTATACAAATCATACTTGCAAAATGCTGTGGAAATTTCCATAACCATTCAATATTGAAGCTAGCTCTTCAATAGTGGAAAAAAAAAATTAATTTAAAGTTAAATTTAAAAAATTAAAAGATATAAAAGCAAGTGTTATATAAAAACCATGAGCATAATGTAATTTCATTATGTTTTAATTTGTTTGCAATTTCAAAGAGTGCTGATAAATGTTGTCAATCCGAAAGTACATTTCTCATAATAAAAAATTCTAAAAATACAAAAAATGTTGAAGTATTCATTTCTTTTAACAGATTGGGTACAGACTTATCTTAAATTATTTGAAGACATCGCAGAATGAAAGAAATAAATAAACAAAAGAAGAAAATAAAAAGAAACCTGTAAATTACATAAGAACCTTTGTAATGTTATTCAATACAGACTTGTAAAGAACTAGCTTGTATATGGTTTTTTCTCTATGTATATATGTAAAAAACAAAACAAAACAGAAACATCATAAATATATGTGTTCACACAAATTGTAATATTCATCCATTGATCAACATGATTGATGCAAACAAGTATGATCTTGGTTAGGTCAAATGCTACAGCCTTTTGGTACAACCTTATTCAAATTCAAAATTATTTAATTAGTAACTTCTCTGTGATGATGAAATTTGAAGTTGATTACCATTGTCTGGTTGGAGTATGTATTCTTATTTTATATTATTTTACTTGTAGTTGACCATTTTTTTTTTTTTTTAATATGGTCACATCATCACTTGAATCAATTATATTTCTTTGGATCATCTCTTGTCTAACAGTTGTCTGTCAAAAGGATGATTCTTACTTGCCTTCAAATACAAGGTAACTATGATTTCAGATCCATAAGCTACAACTGTAAAGAAATCCTAATTTAAATAAAATCTAGAAAAAATGAGAAACAAAAAGAAGATGGATGTTGCACTGTCCATCAAATTTTAAACCAATCAATAATGTGGAAGTTGACATTGCTCCCCTGTGCTCCTTTGTATGTGGGACTTCCATTCTGCATGAGTAGGACCATATTAGACGCCCATTATGAAAATAATAAACAGCTAAAACAATCATAGTAATGGAGACAAGGCAATTTTGAGTTGAATTGGGATCAATTGCATCTATAGAAGATTGG